ATATTGAAGATATCAAATAATGTTTGCTTATAATTCCTCTGAGTTACATTTTCTAAAATCAATACCTCTTTTTCAACTTTGAATGGGAAAAAAAATGTATCATTTTCTTGTAAAACTGTATGTCTTTTAAAATTTTTTTATGTTGTCAGTCACAAATTGATCACTGGGTGTCAGAAAATAATATTATTTTTGCTCAACTTATCATTAGCTGTTTCTGAGAGCTGTGTTGTATTTTGCTGAAATCAGGGTCTGGTTCCAACTATGTTGGTACTGGCCACACACAAGATCAAACACAGAGCTAGAAAATTTACGCTCACACTAGACCATAACAGGAAAAGTGGTAAAGTTAAACATGAAATATTAAGTATGTAAGTGTACAGTATTTTTTAACTGCAGAAGGAAAGGGCAAGAATCCTAAGAGATGACTGCCTTGCAAACCTATCTACCATTTTGCAAAAATGTTTTTAAGTTGAAACATTCTGAGTTGCTAATTTGTACATAAGAACAAATTCTTGGCCGGCGCCATGGCTCAATAGGCTAATCCTCCACCTGCGGCGCCGGCACACCGGGTTCTAGTCCCAGTCAGGGCGCCGGATTCTGTCCCGGTTGCTCCTCTTCCAGTCTAGCTCTCTGCTGTGGCCCAGGAGTGCAGTGGAGGATGGCCCAAGCTTGGGCCCTGCACTGCATGGGAGACCAGGAGGAAGCACCTGGCTCCTGGCTTTGGATCAGCGCAGTGTGCCGGCTGCAGCGGCCATTGGAGGGTGAACCAAAGGAAAAAGGAAGACCTTTCTCTCTCTCTCACTGTCCACTCTGCCTATCCCCCACCCCCCAAAACAACAACAAATTCTTTGGCAATTAAATTGCTGCTACTCCTTGCTTTTCTTCTTTCCTTTCTAGTCCCTCACTTAGGATCTTATTTTTCCTAAAACTTGAGTTATTATAATATAGGAATCGTTAGCACGTTGCTGGTTTTGTCTTGCCTTTCTCTGTTTCTCATACTGTTTGGATGCTTCATGTGGATGTCTACCCCCATGATTAACAAATGCCTGTCTTCTGATGTATGCATTCTAATGATCCTGGTCATCTAAATTTTAATCATTCAGATATCATCAGTTGGTCATCTCAAAGATATCTCAGATGAATCACATTTTTGTAGTTGACCTGTTCCTTGTCCCCACGTGGTGGCAGAGCTTAAAATTTGACCATTAGGCTTAACTCCTATCTCTGCCCGTTCTTGACAGCAACACAATCACCAATTCCTGTCTTCCTTGGAACATCTTTCGAGGTCAGCTGCTCTTCTCTGTGTCTGCTCTCACCTGCCTCGCTTGGAGCATGCCTTGCCCATTTTCCAGGAAGTCTCTTTCCTGCAGTGTCAGCTCGGGGATTTTCCCATCTTCACTCCTACCTCTCTCCAGCCTTTGTCCATGTATCAGCTGGAATGATTCCTGGAATGCTTGACTCTCCTTAGCTCTGTGCTGCTGCCGCTGTGCTTACTCCCGAGGGAAAGCAGGGTCTTGGCATGGCCGGCAGACCCTGCGTGCCCCTGTTGGACGTTTCAGCTGCTTCTCACACGGCTTTCTCCTTTACTCAAACTCTGCCTGGGTGTCCTCTTCACAGAAACACCTGCTGGGAACTATTTGCTTTTTACACTAGTGAGAATTCTTAAATACTCGAAGTTCCTCCCAGTATTATCTAAGCCTTAACTACCACCCATCTTTGGGTCTTTCTCTGTTCAGAAACATCTCTGTAGGTCACCATTGCTTCCCTCTTCCTGGAACACAATTGTCATTTCCTGTGCAGATGTACCCCTCTCACATACCAGATTCCTTTTCTTCAACAGTGTTTTAATTTGGTGTATTTACAAAACAGGATCAGGGGATTAATTCCCCCTTTACAGCCTGAGCTCACTTTGGGGAGTCTTTTAAGTTCGTGCCTACCTAGTTTTTAGCCTGCTATCATATTGCCTTCCATTGCTCTTCATTTTCATCTATACAAGTACCACCTATAATATAGGTAAATGCCAGTTTCTTAACAATTCATTTTTTTCCTCATAAGCATACTGATGTGTGAAATCCCTTAGAAACATTAGTTTTGGATATGAGCTCAGCAATTGGATGTGTGTGTAGAGCAGGGTTGCAATAGCTGTGCCTTTTTTATGGATATGTGCTATAAAAGATATTTGTTAGGTCATGGTAACTTTTTCCATGAAAAACTTGTGTAGCTAAGGGAATAGCATTAATATTTGAGTTTGGAAATTTTATCTGTTTGTTTAAAGGCAAAGAGACATAGATCTCCCATCTGCTGGTTCACTCCCCATAAGCTCGCAACATTGACATAGTTTGGATAGATTGAGAATAGACTTTTAAGCAGTTTAGACACATAGTATATTTGAATAATAAAGGTGATCAGAATTTTTCATGTGGTTGCTAATGTGATATAATTATAAAGAGATACATAGAAAAATGCCTGGAAGGATGTACTAAGCTGCTTATATATATATATAAATATATATAAAATATATATATTATTTTAAAGGCAGAGTTAGAGACAGAGAGAGATCTTCCATCCACTGGTTCACTCCCCAAATGACTGCAATGGCTGGAGCTGGGCCGGGTGTGAGGAGCCAGGAGCGTCTTCCAGATCTCTCATGTGGGTGCGAGGTCCCAAGCACTTGGGGTATCCTCTCTACTTTCCCATTTGCATTAGCAGAGAGCTGGATTGGAAGTGGAGCAGCCAAGACTCAAACCGGCACCCATATGGGATGCTGGCTCTGCAGGTGGCAGCTAGACCTGCCAGCCCCCTAAGCTGTTAATATTGATTAGGCTAAAGATAGGAAGTTACATCAAAGCATTAAGCTCTTCTTTCCCATGTACAGACATTACAGTACAGGGTAACCTACTGTAACAAAGATTTCTAATACAGCATGAGTAAGGTTGAAATTTATTTAGCTCTAAATAAATTTGCTGGTCCATGCTGATGGTGTACCAACTAAACTTCTGAGATCAAAGATACACACACACACACACACACACACACCCCACTTGTTGCTCCACTTAATTTGCATTGCCAATGATAGGATGTTCATGTAAGCAGTGTTTCATAAGTGAGGCAGCAGTTGAACACATCAGTTTAAGTTACCTTCTCTTGTCTAGGAATGAGTTTGCTGGGCCTAGCTGTAAGGCTAGATGAAAAAATCAGGTGTGTGTCTGAGTGGTCTTCGGCTCAAATAAAACTCTTACTGTGGAGCATGACGAAATGAAAAGCGTGTCTTGGGGAACCCAGCAGTCTGTCACAGTATAATTCTGTATTAAAGAATTTTTAGGTATGTTATTGTAATTTTTAAAAATTCAACAACTTGTTCTGAAGAGATAGTGCATTCATGATGGGAGTTTCAAAATGCATGAAGAATATGGCAGAAAGGAATTTTGTCTTATTCAATCTCTAAGCCATAGTTCCCTTTGGGGAAAACCACTGTTAGTATTTATTACTCTTATAATTTATAACTTAAAGTCTAGCTAAGTTGTTCATTCTTCCTGGACCATAAATCTCTTATTTTTAAGGTCCCTTTTTTTATTTGAAGTTTTCTTATTCTGTAACTGGCTACTGAAAGTTTCCCCAAGTCTGCTATTTTATTTTCTGTTCTCACTTTTCCTCCCCTTGCTATCTAATTACTGCAGAACAATAGGTATAGACTAAATGTGGGGAGATACAGATTAATTTGCTTAGAATATCATCCTGTTAAAACCTCAAAAGATGCTGGTAAACTTTTTTATGTCAAGAGTCCGTTAGTAGATGTTTTAGATTTTGTGTACCAAGTGGTCTCTGTCACAACTGGTTGACTCTACTGTAATACCAGGAAAACAGCCGTATATGAGGAAATGATGAGGACTGTGTTCAAATAAAACTTTATTTACAAGAATAGATGGGCTGGATTTGGCCTGTGGGCCAAAGTTTGCCTTATAGGATAGAAACAACAGTCAGTGTAGATTTGTGGAGCTCCATCACACAGCATGGAACTGGGAGTTAGATACCTAGGACTTAGGATGTGGTATAATGCCTTTCTGATGTTTATTCAATTATATTTTGTCTTGTGCCCTATGTTCATTTCCATATAAGGCAAGGTCTGTTAAATCATTTGGTCTGGCCCTGCCACAGCAACTACAGGCAGCATTCGAAGTTCAATGAATTTAGAGCAAGCTGATTTTTAAGTTAATAATTTTTTAGAGATTTATTTATTTGTTTGAAAGGCAGAGTTACAGAAAGGCAGAAAGGGACAGAGAGAGAGAGGGGAAGAGAGAGAGAGAGAAAGAGAGACACTTCCATGCACTGGTTCACTCAGATGACCATAATGGCCAGAGCTGTGCCAATCCGAATTCAGGAGCTAGGAGCTTCTTCTGGGTCTTCCCATGTGGGTGCAGGGGCCCAAGGACTTGGGCTATCTTCTACGGCTTTCCCAGGCCATAGCAGAGAGCTGGATTGGAAGTGCAGCAGCCAGAACTCGAGTCAGCGCCCATATGGGATGCCAGCACTGCAGGCGGCAGCTTTACCTGCTGCACCACAGCGCCAGCCCCAAAGTTGATCATTTTGTTTGGCACATAAATGATGTTATAAATATCCAAATGACCTTTGGCAGAAAAAAGTTTCCCCTCTCCTTATATATAAAAGGATAATCATGGGCCTTTTGGGTTCCAGGCATTGCATTAAATATCCAATTTATACCTTATGACAGTTAGGCATAATAGGGTCTGTGATTGTTACCAGTTTCCAGATGAGGAGGGTAAACTTTTGGAATGGTAACTAGTTTACCCAAGGTAAGAGGTTGACCTCATGCTGGAAAGTGCTCTTTGCTTACTTGAAGTCAGGAAGGTAAGTGATGTTGAATGGTTTTCTTCTTAAGTTATAGCACACACCGTATATAGCTATATTTCTCCCAGTTGTTAGAATTAAATTTTTAACTGATTCATTGCTGTCCAATTCAATTGATACCATTTTGTTCTTAGGTGTTGCACATAATATTGCCTTACTTCGAGAGGTGATTATCAATTCACGCTTTGTTAAAGGAGACATCAACACTAAGTTTCTCTCTGATGTGTACCCTGATGGCTTTAAAGGTTAGTATGCATTGAAATATTTTAGTATTTTAAGCTTGCTAATTTTATATTTTTGATAATGTATATGTTAAAGGGATTTGGCTCATATACTTGCTCTAATAACATATTTTGAGAATCCTAAATTATGGACATTTTTTATTTTATGTGTTTGTGAGTGACTCATGAATGTCATAATTTACGATTTTGTGTAGATTGCTCTGTGAGTCTAGTGTTTTGCAGTAAAACTTGCAGGCAGATTGTTAGCTTACATGACTAACTGATGTCTGAAAATCAAATCAGGTTTTTACTCCCTACTGTGGGAATATGTGGGAACTCAAGTGATACTCTGTGTGTGTGTGTGTATGTATGTGTCTGTGTGAATCTTTATGGCAAATGGCACTGAAAATTCAGAAAACCAGATGCTAGTCCTGTTACAAGAATGAAGATTCTCAAGATGATGGTTCTTACTCTGAAAAATGAAGTGTGGGATGTGAGGCTTAGCACTGAAGAGTTGTCAGTGTGTGCAGGAAGTAAGAACAGTCTCATCCAGTGAGACACAGGAAACCCTGCAGCAGGCGCTGGAAACGTGGTTAACATGTGATGGCAGCTGACAGGAATTTCCTGAAACTTACGGAATACAGTATTTACATCAAAGCCAGAAGCCTTGACATACATTTCCAATGAACTTAGGGATGTATGAAAGTTAGATTCTCTCTCATGAATTTTAAGTATCCTCTTTATCCCTTTATCGTGTTTTACTATGTAAACTGACTTGCATAATCATGTAGGATCTCACTCTTTGTAGGTGTGGATCAGTTTCACATACTTGAGCTGTTGAGTGTTCTTATAAAGCAGTTTTTATTTTACAGTTTTAAGATTAATGAGAGATAATCAGTTTGGATGTTGGCTTTTTTTTTCTTTTGCTTTAAATATTTGTTTATTGATTTATATGAAAGGCAGAGTGAGCGAGAGACAGAGAGAGATCTTCCATCCACTGATTTACTCCCCAAATGGCTGCAATGGCCAGGACCGGACCATGCTGAAGTTAGGAGCCAGGAGATCCATCCAGGTTTTCCAGATAGGTGGCAATGACTGAAATAGTTGGGCTGTGTGGGCCGCCTTCTGCTGGCTTCCCTGGCACATTAGCAGGGGGCAGAATCAGAAGTGAAGCAGCTGGGGCTCAGACTGATGTTCAGATGGCATGCCAGCATCCCAAGCAGTAGCTTACCCCTCTGCACCACAATCCTGGCCCCATCAATGTTCTTTCAAAACTTAGTGTTATGGGGTTTTATCACTTGTGCCAAGGGATCTTGGAACAAACTGAAGATTTTCTTAAACTTTTAAATTTGAAAAAGTATAAAATAAAATAGGTCCTTAATATGATTGCCTTTTTATATTTTTCATTAATATCTCTCCAGAAACCATTGAGGTCATTGTTTTTGTTGTTGTTGTTGTATCTCTAGTAACAAAACATAATAAGCAGTAAGTAGATACTTTTAGAATTAATTAAAAGAATCTTATCATAGTATTTGTGAGAAAGGATTACTTTATACATGTTTGTAATTATCTGTAAATATTTCTAACATTTTTACTTCTTGTATTTCCAAAATTTAAATGAAAAGTTATAGCACATTGTGAAGTGGACTCTAGACTTCTGCATGATTTTGTTTGTGAGGGTGATGTGATAGGAAACAGTAGGCAGATAGAGAAATACCTCAAGGAACCATTTGAACAAATATATTTTTTGCATATGTGGTATTTGTATACATGCCTTTGTAAGTGTCTGTGTATGTGTACATATGGTAAAATATCCCCTAGTGGAAGAAAACGGGGCACTTGACATTCCTGGTTCGGTTTAGTGACTGTACGCACAGCTAACAACAACAGAGAATGTTTTCAACATCTTTCGATAAGATGTTGAAACAAAATTGTATATTAAATCTATCTATTGCAAATTTTGTGATATATTAAACACGACATTTCTTTTTAATAAGCAGTTACCAGTACGGACACCATAATATTGTTTCTTATGTTTATACCAGATAAGAACATAATTTCTTTGTCATAAAGTCATAGGGCCTTTAGCAAAATATTAATTTCATCCTTCATTTTCCATGTGAGAAAACTAAAGCTCAGGAGATGGGTAAGGCTAAATGGCCAGTGAAGTAATAAAACTTGGAAAGCAGCCTAGAATTTTCAACTCCAGTTTGAGTTGTGCATCAGCCATAAAAATTTCAGTTGAGGTAGTATGTATGTTGTCGTATGACCTGTAAGGATTTTGAAAGTACACACTTGTGTTTAATCTTAGTGTCAGCCTCTTACTTGATTCCGTCATCTTTGTTTTCCTGTTATTCTTCTCCGAATGGCTACTGTCTTCTGTTCTTCAGATGATTGTTCCTCCTCCCTCAGCTTTTGCCCAGAGCAAGTCTCAGATACATTAAACTATTGTCTTTGACTACTGGTATATGTGTCCAGAAGAGACAGCGTGAAGTGACAACTGAAGTTAATCCAGGATCTTCCCAGTATGTTTGAGGCCAGGTCATTTTGCCCCTCTGGGATTACCCATCTGCTTCCCATCTGTCCAGCTAGCCTGGGTATTCACAGGCAAGTGCCTGTTTTTATGACTGCTTTAAAATTTCGTGTTATAAATGTTTATGGTACCAAATTTATTTGTAGGACAGTTTTACTAAAGATTTTTAGATGTGGACTTCACAATTATTGTGTCTAAAATATAAAAATAGAATACACAAGAAATTGATCTTTTTGTCACCTTTTTAGACTCCACTGTTGAAATGCTGTTTTGCTTTGATTTTGAAAAATAAATAGAAAATGAGCGAGAAGACATCTTGCTCCTGAAATAAACAGAAAATGAAGCAGATATTTTAAGAACCACCATTTCAGATGACTTGGAATGATCACTTTGGGCTTATTTCTCTCCTACCTTACCTCACTTCAATCTCAAGCTCCAACAAAAGAAATGACCAGAATTATCTTTTTCTTCTGAAGAGTTACATATTTTTAAGCCAATTGATTCAACACAGAAAGTATTCAATAATTCTTTTTACTTCAGAATTTAACAACTGTTTCTATACTTTAAAATGTGATACTGTTATATTAAGATTGAACTTAGTCATCAACTATTATTCAACAAATAATTTGGTAGGGGCTCTGGAAGGAAATCAAAGGTGGACTTTCCCTGTCATTAAAGAGCTAACGTTGCCGGCGCTGCGGCTCACTAGGCTAATCCTCCGCCTAGCGGCGCCGGCACACCGGGTTCTAGTCCCGGTTGGGGCGCCGGATTCTGTCCCGGTTGCCCCTTTTCCAGGCCAGCTCTCTGCTGTGGCCAGGGAGTGCAGTGGAGGATGGCCCAGGTGCTTGGGCCCTGCACCCCATGGGAGACCAGGAAAAGCACCTGGCTCCTGGCTCCTGCCATCGGATCTGGCGCGGTGCGCCGGCCGCAGCGCGCCGGCCGCGGCAGCCATTGGAGGGTGAACCAACGGCAAAAGGAAGACCTTTCTCTCTGTCTCTCTCTCTCACTGTCCACTCTGCCTGTCAAAAAAAAAAAAAAAAAAAGAGCTAACGTCATGAGAGAAATAGACATGTAAAGAACTAACTACATGGCAGAATAAAACAGGTGCTAAGTGAAGGTATAAGCATAGTGTCTTGAGAGCAGAAAAAAAAATTCTGATTTAGGAATTCAACACTGACTTCAAGGAGGGGTAGTGTTTTAGATTACTGAAATGCCTGTCCGGTAGTGTTGCAGCTACCATGCTAACTTGTGCGAACTCTGTGTCCATGTCTTCCTAAGCCTTCCTCTCTGATGTGTGTTGGCCATTTGAATTCAGCCACAAAGAAAGCACTCACTACAGGGAGACTGGCAGATGCTACATACACTCGAGGACGTTTTTCTTGCTTCCATGCTCCCTTTGGTTCAACATTTCCCAGCTTTGACCTGAGTATTTCTTATTAAAGAAATATTTATTTATTTGAAAGACAGACTGACAGAAAGAGATCCCATCCACTGGTTTATTCCTCAAATGGCCATAATAGCTTGGGCTGGGCTAGGCTGAAGCCAGGTGCCTAGAACTCCCTCTAGGTCTCCTACCCACATGGAGGCAGGAACTCAGATATTTGAGCCATCTTCCACTGCTTTCCCAGGATACATTAGCAAGGAGCGAGATCAGAAAGAGAACAGCGGACACTGGAATCTGTGCTCCGATATGGGATGCTGGGGTAGCAAGTGCAGCTTAACCTGCTCTTCCACAACACCAGCCCTTGACTTGAGGATTGAGATCAAACAGAGCCCTTCATCGAAAAAGAAGTACTACTCGTAAAGGAAGACGGAAGATTCCTGACAAGTGATGCTCAGGTTTGGAATTGTTGATGTGGGAGACAGATGATTATGCGTACTGAGAAATAGTAAGAACACTTAGGGATATTAAGTTAGAGGACGAAGACTTAACTAAATCTGTGATTTTTTTTAAATAGTTTGAGTTGGATGTTTTTATTGTCAATGCATTTTGGTTGTAGAATTTAGAGTTCAGTACATGTTAGTGTTGGAAAAACCCCATATATATCCCTTTTCTATATTTCAGAATAAGCATGCAGCAGTGTGTCATGTGCAGAAATATATGTTAATGTATTTCCTGCGCACGTGCTCATAGCTATTCTCCGCCTGCAGCGCCGCACACAGGTCTAGTCCAGTCGGGGCGCCAGATCTGTCCTGGTTGCCCTCTTCCGGTCAGCTCTCTGTGTGGCCCGGAGTGTAGAGGAAGATGGCCCAAGTGCTTGGGCCTTGCACCCCATGGGAGACCAGGAGAAGCACCTGGCTCCTGGCTTTGGATCAGTGCAGCGCGCCAGCCGCGGTGGCCATTGGAGGGTGAACCAATGGCAAAAGGAAGACCTTTCTCTCTGTCTCTCTCTCTCACTGTCCACTCTGCCTGTAAAAAAAAAAAAAAAAAAAAAAAAAAAGTATTTTCTTTACATCAGAAATATAATACACTCCTGAATGATTAGTTCTT